AAATTAAGCAAAAAGGCCTGCTTTTTGTTCATTTCTGCCCTCCCCAGCCCCCAGGAGCTCTCTGAAAGCCTCCATAAGGCTATGCAAGGTCATTTTGGTGGTGGGGCAGGGTTTCGGAAGGCAAAAATGTTGTATTCAAAGTATAAGATGCACCCAGATTTTCAGCCTCTTTTTTGAGGGAAAAAGGTGCATCTTATACTCCAAAAAATATGGTATATGATTTTTAAGATCCTGTGTGTACATATTGTTGCTTCTGTGAGAGCTGCATTCCAAAGTATGGGTAGTCCTTGGCTTATAACAGTTCATTTAATGACCATTCAAAGTTACAACAGCACTGAAACAAGTTGTCTTGTGACTGTTTCTCATACCTACAACCGTTGCAGTATCCTTATTGTCACGTGATCAAAATTCAGAAACTTGGCAAATGACTTGTACTTATGACCGTTGCAGTGTCCCAGGATCATGTGATGACCTTTTGCGACCTTCTGACAAGCAAAGTCAATAGGGAAGCCCGAGTCATTTAACAACCTAACTTAACAACTATAGTAATTCACTTAAGAACTGTGGCAAGAAAGATCATTAAACTAGCCAAAACTGACTTAACAAATCTCTCAGCAACAAAAATGTTGGGCTCCTTTGTGGTCATATGTCGAGAACTACCTGAACAGTGCCTCTTCAACAACTGTCCACCAGGGGGCAATAGGCAACAGATAGAGAGAGTAAGGATTTACTCTAGGTTCCTTTCTCACCTTGTCTGGTCTTTGTCCGCTAATCTGAGGCCACTTCCTTCTTCCTTGACGCAATTGGGATTGGAATGTCAGTAGCTAAGGCAGTCATTAAGTGAGCCGCACCCAATTATACAACCTTTTATGTCATGGTCATTACGTGAATAATCACAGTTGTTAAATGAATTTATCCTGTTCCCCTGAAAATAAGACATCCCCGGATAATAAGCCCAATTAGGCTCTTGAGCGCATGCGCTAAAATAAGCCCTCCCCGAAAATATTGCAACACAGCAGCAGCCATGAGGTGACCACGCTCGCCGACTCCTGCACCTCAAAAATAATAAAACCTCCCCGAAAATAAGGCCAAGTACTTATTTCGGGGGTCAAAAGAAAATAAGACCCTTATTTTTGGGAAAATATGGTACATGGTCATTAAGTGAATCTGGCATTGGTAGTTTTTTAACCTACCATGATTTTTTTCCCTAGAAGTCACTAAGTCACTACAGACGTCTAGGCAAAAAATAATAATATTAATAAATAATAAGTAAAATAATAATAAAAAGAAATAGAAAGTAAGGCTTAAGATCATCTTAGTGAATTCTAGGCAAGGTCTGTAACTGTACAGAGAATTCACTAAGATGGCCTTAAGCCTTACATTCAACAACTGATGAATCAAATCAAATAAAATGAATAAAATATCGATGAGATAAAGTGGCAGAACCATCTTCTAGGAGAAGGGAAACTCTTGATTACAAACCTCCACTGACTTGTGGCTATATCCACTCCTGGAAAAGGCTTCAGGAGTCAACCTCGAGGCTAAATCCGGAACCAGAGTCCCGGAAGCAGTTCATGACTGTGTACAACCACATTCTGGTGACCCCTACGACGCAGCTGGAACCAATCGTATCGGCTCTGGCGTTCCATTGGACTATTTCAGCGATGTGGAGAGGGGGGATCTGCTGCTTGGGTAACA